CTAGCATTGTAAAATCACTATTTCTATTTGATTGTGATTTCAGAAGCATAATAATAACAAGTTATGAGTCTGAATACATTTTCATTCTAAATCAAGATTAATTACACAATTGCTATTAGCTTAGTTGTTATCAAAAACCTACTTTAATTTCTCAAATTCTTACCAGATATCCTCAAGAGTCAAAAAAATTAACCTATTTGGTTGCAAGACTTCATAACTGCATTCTCGGATCCCCTGCATTCTCTTATGAAAATCGAAATCTCCGTTCAATAATGAGTTGAAGAAAACAATGACGAGACAGTGAAAGAGAAAAAAATTGGGAAAAATTGCACAATGTTTATAAACAATGCACAAGAGCATCCTCTATAGACTTTTTCTCACAACCCCGTAATGCGTGCAACTAGCAAACGGGTATAGAAGAAAGGAATGGACACGATCCGAGAAGAGAGTTTTACTCCAACTCCAAAGAAGTTAGCGCAATTTCTCCAATGGAAAGACCTTCTACCTAACAGTAGTAGACCTCTGGATCGTATACTTCTTGTTAAATGCAATGAACACATCTCTGCAAAATAAGTGGGTGACACAATACCTCAAGCTGCGCCGAAAAGCGCAGAGATTTTAGGGTGTGTTTTAAAGTGATGGGGACATATGAAGAGAAGATCTTTTGCATCAGACAGTCTTCCTTCTCGGTAGAAAGCTTCGATAACATGAAAATAGGCTGCAAAGGAAGGAGAATTGTTTGAGCATAGCACATCCAAGAACTTCTTAGCGTCTTCCAAAGTCCCAAACTTTGCGAGGTATCCATCAAAAGCTTCTGCATACGCAGGGTAATTTTGCTTCTTCATCATCTGGAGAAGATCTAGCGCCTCTTCGCCCTTCTTGATTTCTAGCAGCTTGTCTATAAGAGTCTTGTACGTGCTTTGCCAAGGCTTTACATTGGCATTTCTCACCATCTCCATAAGGAATTTGCACGCTCCCTCGATCCTGTTTTGGCTAAGGAACCCGCCTACCAAGACATCAAGCAGGTCAGAGTCGATATCAAACCCTTTCTCTAGCATATTCGCAAAACACACAAAGGCCTTATCGACATCATTATTTTTGAAGTGCCCTTGGATCAGAATAGTCCAAGTTTTTATGTCAGGAAAACATCCTTGTGCTTCCATTTGATCGAGAACTCCACATGCTTCTTCTAATCTATTAGCTTTACAAAGCCCAAACACAAGCTGGCTGTATGCGATGTTATCTGGCTCAAAGCCCGCATTTCTCATAGCCTTCATGATCTCCTCGGCTTCGTCAAACCTCCCTACAATGCTTAAAGACCTGTGGATTCCATCATAAATAGCCTTTGAGAGAGAATTCCCAGTTGATTCATATTTTCTTGAAACCCGAAATACCAAATCCAAATCCGGATTGGGACCAGCCGATAAGAACCTCAACAGAAGACTACAATCTTGAATAGATGGCTTGAAGGGACCATCCATCATAAACTCGTAAAGCTTAACTGCATCGATCATCATTCTAGATTTCTGAAACTGTCTCGAAACCTTTATATAAGTGTCAAGATCCACCTCGTGCCCAACGTTCTTCATTTCATCCACAACACTCCAAAACTCTGCAACCGAATTAGGCCTAGCCAAAACCCTCAAGGCCGCGTTATAAGTAACGGTACTGTTCTGATAACCAGAAGAACTACCACCAACCCAATGGAAAAATGCTAAAGCTTTCAAAGGATGACCCCTTAGTTCCTTCAATACCCTGATAACGAAATTATCGGACAAGGCGAGTTTCATCTCCTGCAATTCCCTCTCAACCTCAACACTCCAATCCACCTTCAAAACAGCAGCAGAAACATTTTCTACAACTACAGCCATTGCGTTCTGCTTAACCATTCTCTCATAGAAATGAGCCACAGCCGCAGCGTCAGCTTTGGAGTCCTCCTTAATAAGGAAACCATAGATAGTCTGATAGGTTTCCTCGTCCATGTAAAACCCTCCTTTTTTCATATCACTCACTGTCATCCAGAATCGTTTCATGGATCTCTGCTGCACTAAAATCCTCAACATATTGCTATAAAGTGGAGCGCTTGGACTAAGCCCTGATTCTCTAAAAACCCAATCGAGAAAGCAATAAGCTTTTTCTGGGTGCTTATCCAATTTCCTAAGGACGTAGATTGCTGTCTCGTGGGTTAAAGGCGTGTCGGGTTTTCTCAATCCTTCCTCTACTTCTCTGGACCAATCATTCTCAACTACTAACTGAAGCATAGAATCTGGATTTGAAGAAAAGGAGCGGTATTGCCATGGAAATCGACTAGGGATTGCAAGAGAATCGAAAGGCGAAGACGAGTTTGAAGAAGAACCAACCTGAGATCGGATTAGATACGAACGAGTCGAGATCTTCGAGTAACCGTTTCGAAGAGAAGACAGGATTGCCTTTGATCTGTACATGGCTACAGCTGCTGCTACTGTGAATTTGAGTGGTAGAAAGAGCCAAAGAGGAAGACGAGAATACAGTGACAATAGGGTTTAAGATGAAATGCAATTTCCTAAAAATTGGGGGGTTTAAGAGTCTCTTGAACGCTGCGCTTTATCTATGAGATATTTTGAAGTCGCTCTTATTCTTTTTTTTTTTTCCATCTATTTATTTTTTTGGAAAGAAAAATGATGTAAGTTACATGTCCGCAAAAGATAGTTAGATAAGTATTAAAGAGAACTATCATTCCCGTGGATCTTGTGGCATCTATGGAAAACTCGAAATAAATTGCTATTTAAAGGGCCACATTTTTGCAGCCTTGAGGTTGTTAACAAAGCTCTTCATGATGCTTCTCAATGGTCCACGGCTCAACACGTAGAAAGCACCATCCAAGCGTCTCAACACTCGACCAGGCTCAATCATCAGGATCGGTGGCAGCCTCCACCATCTAATTGGCTGAAGTGTAATGTTTCTTTCTCTTGGTACAAATCTTCTTTTGAATGTGGTGCAGCTTGGGTCTTACGTAACGAAAGAGGAACGGTCCTCTTGCATGCTAGATGCTCTTTCGTCTCTGTTCCTTCAAAATTGGAAGCTTCCTTTTCAGTGATATGTTGGGCAATTGAGAGTATGGCTACACTTCGCTTTGCAAATGTCGTGTTCGCATTCTCTGATCAATGTCTTGTTAAAACGGTCTCAAAACCAACGGCATCACCGTTATTCCTATACCATTCCACAAAGCTTCTTGCTTTGTTTCGTAATGTGCGTAATTGGAAACTTGTCTTTGAATCTCGAAGTGCAAATTTGGTTTCTTACAAGATTGCTCATAGCGCTTCATCGGGAAATCGTTTTCAATCATACATCGCCTCGGGTCCGCCTTCTTGGCATAGGTCCCTCTTTCTCTCAAAGGCTGAAAGGCTATCATCGGTCTGATTGTCATTCTCTCTTTTTAGGCTTCTGACTGGGCTTGATTCCTCTCTTATTTCGATGATGTAAACACTGGCTTATATATACAAATCTCGTTTAGCGGAAAAAAAAGTATTAAAGAGAACTAGATGAACATCCGTGTATACACGTGAGATTTTATTTTAAATATGTATTTTCATAATTTCATAAATTAATAAGTTAAATGAGTTATTTTCTTCCAAAGCTTAAGTTGCTTTTAACCAATATCATTATCATCTGAATCCATGTTCTTACACATTCATATTATGCAGTGTTCTAAACCGCAGGCTAGACAGATGCCTAGGGGGCGTCCAGGCGCTACGCGGAAGCCAGGCGCCCTGATTTTAGGTTATTTGGAAATTTATGTAGTTCTTAAAAATAAAGATGTTTATGCGGTCTAGACAGGCGTTTATGTGGTCTAGGCGGACAATTATGCGGTCTAGGCGGATATTAGGCGGCCATATAATTTATTTTTTTTAAATCACAATTTTTTTATTATATTGTAAAATAAAATTGTTTATCATAATAAATATTTATTTTTAGCCTCTAAGGATTAAGTCTATTAGTTAAATTCATTCTGCAAATAAATGTAAACATTATATCT